TGCGACGCCAAATCCACATGCCACACACGTGGACGCGTTGTAGCGCGTACGTGTGGTTAGGGCTTAATACCGTTAGGCTATAAAAAATATTCTCCCTGTTCCTCCCCGGCAATGGAAGAGACTAACTGGAAATGTGCTAGACTGTACCTTGCTAAAAGCGATACTTGAAAGAAGCATAAATGAATTTCCGTGCAAATACTTGTCCTTCACAAGTTAGTGAGGTGCCAGAGTACAGTACATATGTACGACAAAGTGAACCACAATTTGATTTTTTATGTTTACACTCAACTTCATGCAGACGGAACTTCGTTTTCTGGTTCCCTCGAAGAAGACGTCACCAATTTTATTAGCGGGGGGGGGGGGGGGGGGGGGGGCTTCGGCTTTACTACATATAATTTGCTCAGGACTGTACTGAAATTCTTGTCTTGTCATGTTACGTGTAGGATCGATTCGGATAAATAATTGGTTACAGGGACGACAAGGGGATATTTTTTTAATTGGATGGTGCGGGGAACCCACTTCAAGAGAATTCATTCGAGAGGTGGAAGGGTGGGGGGCAGAAAGCTGTGGAACTTACTCGGTGTTTTGAGCATGCTTTAGGGGCGGGGGGCACGGCGAGGCAGGCAATAATTTTAAGGGGGCCGCTACCCCTCTGATGGCGGCGCCCTTGAATGGTTACATCCAGTAAGTATGAGAGGCGGAGCTTACGATTCTTTTTCCGGGCCATTTGACAATGGCTTCAAAAGATTTTTGGGCATTTCACAACTGCAACGTACTACTACGAGGGACACGACCCATACCCTAAAACTCAAGGCCCCCTAAATGTACATAAGCACCCCACTGTGCTTATTGTCCTCGAGCCCGTGTATTTGTTTTCTACAAAATCATGCAGGGGAACACAGTAACGCACTAAATAAAAGAGGCAAGCATTACGTGCCATGCACGTGGAAACCGACTCCCATCACAGTCAAAGTTTTTTTTTTTTTTTTTTTGTCATGATTCTGGCCCGGCCCCCGGCACCCTGCAATCGCATTGTGCTCTTCTTGGTTTATTTATGCTCTTACACGTTAACCGGCCCAGCGAAGCAGACCAAAGCATGCAAAGCGCTCTACAGAGTTGGAAAGTCAATACTAGCAGAAACAGACTCAAGGATGTAACAGGTAGTTGGGTGAAGCTTGTGAACAATTACCAGGCGACCAAGTGTTAGCAACGGACCATTACAAATGTCGTGGACGCTCTTTAACCAGGATAATAGAAGAAAACATAGTCCAAAGAAATGAAGTTTATTACCCACACGTGACTATTCTTCAGCTGAATCTCTTCATTGGACAAACGAGAACCTGCTCAGTGCGTCCGCACAATAACCGCAAGACCGAAGCAAAAGAGCAACTAGTTAAGTAGTGAATGGGCGAAATAAAAGAGCGTAAGATGCGCAACGAACACTTGCAAACCCATGCACGCACGAAGAGAGCCCCCCCCCCCCCCCCCGGTAACACAGATTGATTAGATGAATTTAGCCAAGTTGCCCAGCTTTCTATGCAGTTTAAAGCAAAGTAGCATCAATATGCCACCACATGGCACAATGTGAAATGATGCATCTATCATGACTAAGAAAAACATGCAAATAGATTGACCAATTTCACTGCAGTCATATAGGGTGGTGAAGCATGGCAAAACGACGCACCAAACGTTCCGCTTGTGCAACTTAACAATATGGGTCCAACATTATGACAGCCACTAAAGAATTGGCAGCATATCCACGGAGTGAATGATGGAGAGTGGGGCGAAGCATTCGTCCGTCAATTCGTTCTTGCTTCCATCCTTCCATGCGTCCGTCTGTGTGACCGTCTATGCGTCCATCCGCCCGTCCGTGCGTGCGTTTGTTCGTGCGTCCGTCCCTGCGTTCGTCCATGCATCCACCATTGCGTCCGTTCATGCGTCCATCCACGCATCTGTCTGTGTATCCGTTCGTCCATCTATTCAACACTCCAAGTACCACCATCTCGCATCTTTTCAAGATAAAATACGCGCAGTAAGAGATTTCCCTGTACCAACCTGTACCAAAGACGTTCGCAGTTTCGTTGGCCTCTGTTCTTACTTCCGCCGCTTTGTTAAAAACTTCGCCGACGTAGCACGCCCTCTCACTCAACTTCTCAAAAAAGACGCTGGCTTCATCTGGGGCCCTGAGCAAGCAGATGCGTTTCAAAATCTAGTGTGTCTGCTTACGTCTCCGCCTATCCTCGCCCACTTTGATATTTCATCTCCAACAGAAGTTCGTACAGACGCAAGTGGCTATGGCATCGGTGCAGTCCTCGCCCAGAAACAACAAGGACGAGACCGTGTTGTTGCTTATGCCAGCCGCCTTCTTTCGCCTGCTGAAAGAAAATATTCAATAACCGAACGGGAATGTTTGGCACTTGTTTGGGCAGTCGGTAAATTTCGTCCCTATTTGTACGGCCGGCCATTCACAGTAATCACAGATCACCACGCCTTGTGCTGGCTTTCGTCCCTTAAAGACCCTTCAGGCCGTCTTGGCCGTTGGGCGCTGCGCCTTCAAGAATTTGATTACTCAGTCCTGTATAAAACCGGCCGCCTGCATCAAGATGCGGACTGCTTGTCCCGGTATCCTGTCGACCCTCCAGACGGCGACTCCTCTAAAACCACCCTTCCTATCGACGTTTTCTCTCTATCCGCGTTTCATGACATTGGAATCGAGCAGCGACGAGATACTTTCTTGGACGGTATTATCCGAAGGCTCACATCGGTGAGGCCCGACCCTTCCCTTCGAATGTTTGAAATACATGATGGTGTATTGTACCGTTGCAATATGCGTCCTGACGGCCCCGAAAGACTACTCGTCGTTCCCATTCAATTGCGTCACACTGTTCTCGCCCAGCTTCATGATGCACCTACAGCGGGTCACCTCGGCGTGTCACGGACCTACGACAGAGTTCGCCGGCGCTTCTTCTGGCCTGGCATGTACCGCGACGTCTGCCGTTATATTGCAGCCTGCGACCCTTGTCAACGACGGAAAAAACCAAATGCTCCTCCGGCCGGACGTCTTCAGCCACTGCACATCCCACAAGACCCATTCTACCGTGTTGGCGTGGACCTGCTTGGCCCTTTTCCTACGTCAGCTGCGGGTAATCGGTGGATTGCAGTAGCAACCGATTATGCTACCCGATACGCGATCACACGGGCCCTTCCAACCAGCTGTGCAACTGACGTGGCCGATTTCCTTTTGGAGGACGTCATCTTACATCATGGCGCCCCTCGACAACTCCTTACCGACCGAGGCAGCTACTTCCTTTCCAAAGTGGTTGATGACCTCCTCCGCTCCTGCGCCACTAAACACAAGCTCTCGACTGCTTACCATCCACAAACAAATGGTCTAACGGAGCGCCTCAATCGCACTCTCACCGACATGCTCTCCATGTATGTCTCCGCCGATCACCGCGACTGGGACACTACGTTACCGTTTGTAACATTCGCGTACAATTCTTCCAGACACGACACCGCTGGGTTCTCTCCTTTTTTTCTGTTGTTCGGCCGTGACCCTGCGCTACCTTTCGACACCCTCCTGCCGGCCGGACTAAATGACAAGTCTCAGTACGCTCGTGATGCAATAATGAAGGCCCAAGCGGCACGCCAAGTTGCTCGACGACGCTTACTGGACTCCCAGGACAATCAGAAGAGCGTATACGACGCCCGCCATCGTGACGTCCACTTCACACCCGGAGATCTCGTTCTGTTATGGTTCCCCTCGCGCCGCGTTGGACTTTCGGAGAAGTTACTCCCACGCTATTCAGGTCCCTACCGTATCTTACGCCAAGTAACTGACGTCACATACGAAATCACCCCTACGGACCCCGCCATCCTTCACCCTCACACTGACGTAGTGCATGTTACGCGACTCAAACCGTATTACTCCAGTGCCTCCTGATTAGCACCGGGTCGGTGCTCCAGCCGCCGGGGAAATCATGTAACGGTAGGATGAGAACGACGAAGAAGACAAAGAGGAGGACGATGTTGTCAGATCTGTGAGCCAACTGGGCGCCATCTTGTCCACCACCGAGTTTATTCCTCGTTTTATAAAGTAAAGTTATTCTCCCGTAACATCATTCCCCATATAGAAGCACCGCCATCCAGCGGACATTCTAAGGACTAAACAAGAGGTGGCACACGCACATTTTCTTGCGGCTTGCGCTTCGGGTCCACTTCCCACCTTTAACCACCTCGAGTTTATGGTATATACTAGTTCACTGTATTCATGGCATTGCGGCCCAACGCTCGTTAAACCTTTCTAAAATCAAGGAGGTTACGCCCAGCGACTATAACGTAGCAACCTTTTCCTGTCAGATAGGGCTCAATGTGCATGCCAATGGCTGCTAATGGGAAATGAGAGACAGGAGAATTCGGCTTTTACTTTCTTACGGCTTGCGCTTCGTATCTACTTCCCACCTTTAACCACCTCGAGTTCATTCATGGTGTATACTAGTTCATTGTATTCGTGGCACTGCGGCTGAACGCTCGCTAAACCTTTCTAAAACTAAGGAGGTTACACCTAGCGAGTATAACGTAGCAACCCTTTCTTGTCAGATAGTGCTCAATGTACATTCAAATGGCTGCTAATGCGGATTGCAGCGTGTGCGTTAACTAAAAGCCGAATGCTCCTGTCTCTCATTCCCCATTATCAGCTATTGGCATGTACATTGAGCCTTATTTTTTATTGTTAAACAACGCACAGAAGAAATCTTTTACCGGCACCACCTTGGAGGTCAAAATGTTATACTTGTTACACACTACAATGGCTACGAGGGATGAATGGGTGCCGCTATAAGGAGCTTCGCCCCTAAAACGCTATAGATTCTCTGCATGTCAGCCCGTGGCCTCCGCGATTTGCTGCCGGCGGCGCGCCGTTGCAACGGCGCGCCGCCGGCAGCCGATCGTGGAGGCCACGGTCAGCCGAACAGCCTAACATTTAGAGGTGGGACATGATCTGCAAGCCTTGAGATTATAATTGGATATGCACCGTACGATAACACTGACGTACACCGGCGTTAGGATGTTTCACAACATTCACAGGCCCCGGGGTGGATCAGGAGATTGCTGTCATGTCCCGCGGGAGCAAGGTGGGATACAGTCAGTCGCCCACTTTTCATCCGCCATTGGCCACAGCGCAGTGATGAGTAGCAACACAGAAGGAAGTCCCTTAACGAAGCGAAGGCAGACGGCCAGGCCACATCATTGGGCTGTGCTGCATGACGCATTCCGGAGAAGACAACAAGCAAGAGGCGGGAACTGGAAGACTACTCGTTGTGGACGTAGGGATGGCATGGCCCCAGGTATCCACAGATAATCCACCGGATGATAGTGAAGGTCGAGAAGCTGTAAGGACACCAAGAATTCTTGTTTATGTGTTGTACACATACACAATGTGGGTATGGTAACGCAATATCACGGGGAACACAATATTTCAGACAATGTCGAGTTTCTGCTTGACTAGCCTACCAGCTCCCCAGGAGTGGCCTTTTTTCTGTAAGTGTTAGAGCATCGGACGTGATATGCGGAACTTAGGTGTTCAAATACCACAGACAGGAAGGGGCATTTCACATACTCTGATTCGCATATTTTTCTTATTGAAATAGAAAAACGAAGGAGTGGTTACTTGGCAATGGCTACCCCTTTCCACTTGATTGTTACAAATAAAGATGAAGACTCCAATGTCTTCTATGTTTTTCTTGGGCTGATTGTCCAATTTATTTGGTCGCCTCTAACGAAGAAATGAGCCTATGAAAAAAAAATTCCCCTTTCTTCATTTGAAGCGGGAAGCTCGCCATAAGGTAGAGTTATCAGCCTACGTTAGCACGCGAGGTTTTATGAATAATCAGCTGTGTCTAGCCAAAGTAGCATGCCATCCTCAGCTGAATTTGTTGCACACACGTCACCTTGCCCGCAAGTGGCCCTGGCTAACACTTTTAGGGATTACTTCCACAAACCCTCAAATCGACAGGGACACTCATCCAAGTTTACTTGGTACAGCGTTAGACATGTACTTCGAAGGTTGTAAGGTCAGATCCCAAATATGATAATGGGTGCTTTTTTGTTCACTATATATTCCTTTTAATTTAAATAATTACCCTCCGATAGACCTAATAACTTCGCGTATGCATTCCCTGGCTTAGTTGTCTGTTCATTCATTTGGTAAGGTACACATAAAACAAGTTCACAGCGGACACTACTGAAAGCGAAATGTCTTTAGCAACAGTAACTATTTCCAGCCTTTGTGAACTCTCAACTTACACAATTTAACAGTATAATTGCTGGAGCAGCGCAAGTTACTAAACTAGTTAGTGCAGGTGTACAATAACAGACTGCAAAATAGGGAGACTAGGTCTTATGAATTGATTCGATCTGATCAGTACATTTCGAAATTTTTCAAATTAGTCTCCTGGGCATAGATGAGCCATTTTCAACGCGGTTACCACGTTGCAAGGGCTCCCCGAAAGTGAGGTGTCGTGAACTCCACGAGGTGTCGTACACCCACATGTTAAATGGCGGGAGCGTCTTTGAATCAAGCCTATCCGTGTGATCCCGGCTGGCTTCTTCCCGAAGCTCAAGCCTGAAAGGTCAGTTTCAATGTTTGTCCTACTATTTCGTGGGCTGTCACTTTGTGACTCAAGGTGCCTTTTTTTGCTAGGGAATCGCACTGGTAACAGTGTACCCTTGTCCAACGATACCAATCAAGAATTCATATTGATACGGGCCGATCTGATCGAGGAATCTTTCGCCAGACTCAATCGCGTTATCTAAGGACATAGATATCTATGGGAAAGCGGGCAAAGACATGCAAGCACATGGATCTTTCTCCTGACCCACGCACATGCTTTCGAAATTTATTACTAGTGAGAGAGTGAACAACTGCACCTCCACCCTTCACGCTCTAAAGAGAAGACCTGCGCAGGCCAGTGGGTATAGTTGTTCAAACTTCGCAGTGTGAAAGCGGCACCGAGAATGGTTCGGAATAGTAGGCGGGATGAATACCACAAATTTAAATGTAGACACGAATAGAGAGGCGCCCTGCGTGTGTCTTCTCGTCCGTCATTTCTGCGTCTACTATTTCGAACCATTCTTGGAGCCGCTTTCACACCATGAAGTTTGCACAGCCTACACAAAGGCATGCGCAGGGCTTCCCTTCAGGGGGCGAAGGGGGGAAAGGAGCCATCCGTTAATTGCTAGGCACCCGTTTTACCAATGTACGCTACTTTGCCGAAGGACACCGTTATCTAGTTTTGACACCAAGTTTATTATACCACCACGTGACAGTAAGATCAATAGTAGATGTTGTTGCGCATTAAAAGGGAGCACGTTTGCAGATATATTGAGTATATAATTAACTGAATATGATTCAAAAGCAGATGCAATTGTAACATCAGTAATTCATTCATTATTAAATTGTAAGCAATGTTGTGTTTGGCAATGCTGTAGATTGGCAAAACTCAGGCAATAGGATGAAGTAATCACTTACTATAATAGTAGAAGTGTTCTGCTAACTTGAATCTCTCCTTCGCCTGATTGAAAACAACAGGGTCAGCAGTAATGTCAACAAACACAATTTCTTAACTAGACATCAGCATGGATTTAGAAAAGGTTTTTCAACCTGCACTCAGCTAGTTGAAACCGTACATGACTTTGCGAAAAGTATTAACCACGGCAAACAATTAGATGCAATTTTTATGGATTTCGCCAAAGCCTTCGATAAGGTTTCCCACAAAAAATTACTTTTTAAATTAGAGAAAATACTTAAAAACAAAAAGTTAATGGGCTGGCTCTTTTTCTACTTAACTAAACGACAACAATTTGTTTCTTTTCGCGGTTGCAACTCAAAATATGTAATGGTTGGTTCTGGCGTTCCCCAGGGCTCAGTTCTAGGGCCTCTACTGTTTCTTTTGTTCATTAATGATATTGTAGAACAAATTCCTGTTAAAGTGAAACTTTACGCAGATGACTGTGTTTTGTACTCTGAGGTTCATAGCACATCCGACCAACTTCGGTTAAATCAGGCATTTCAAAAAGTAGCCTCCTGGTGCGAGGAATGGCAGATGGTCATTAACTTTGATAAAACTGTTTTTATGCGAATTACACACAAGAAAAAACCTTTGCATTTCAGATACAATGCTAACAACACTTTTTTGACTGAAGTCACTAATTATAAGTACTTGGGGCTTTTCATATCGAATGATCTCTGCTGGAACAAACACATTACACATGTAACAGCCAATGCAACTTACAAACTGTTTTTTCTATGTCGTGCTCTCAAACTATCCACTCCTTCTGTCCGCCTTTTAGCGTACAAATCAATTGTTTTACCAATATTAGATTACGCCGCTATTATATGGGATCCTTTTACTAAGACTAACATTAACAAATTAGAAAAAGTGCAAAAAAGAGCAGTTCGTTTTGTCTACAATAATTTTTCGAGGACTTCCGTTACTGACCTATTAAGCAGAGCTCAACTTTCACCTTTATCATTAAGATACCGTAACTTAAGGCTTAAGTTTCTGTACCAACTAATTAACGGCCAATATCAAGTAGATATAGCCGATATTTTTTCTTTTTCTTCTGGCTACTCCACCAGGCAGAGACATGACCTCACCATAACCCCCTTTCCCACACACAATAATTGCTTTAAGTATTCATTTTTTCCTCGCACCATAGTCGAGTGGAACAAACTAACTAATGCAATTGTTTCAGCACCCTCATTGGCATTGTTTTCCTCGAAAGTAGAAAGTGCACTAACCAGTTGAATTGTTGAATCGTATTACATACCACTGTACATGCTTGTATAATTGCAGTCTTCTATTTTTTATTGTATGATATTGCCAGTTGAAGTGTGTATTTGCCCTATAGACATTGTATAACCTGTATATATTATATGTCATTGTACTTGCCATTTGTTCATGACTAACTTCATGTACCACCCTGCTAAAATCACCAAAGGTGATTGCAGTATCTGTAAATAATATAAAATAAATAATGTTTTCAGAGTTGCATTTAACAGACTCGCAGGAACAAATGTGATGTATCGTAATCAACGGCTTTTCTTAGCCTTTCTTTCGTTTAAATGGAAACAAGATATGGAGTTGCGGTATTCACAATTGCTCGAAATAACCTTGTTGTGATGCCTCGAATACAGCTGCTCAAGGCAGTGATGACTAACGCAAGCGGTCGTAAAGACTACACGATCCGAACTGACGACTGGAAACAAAAGTGTGTGGTACTTAACCCTAAAATGTCTCGTTTGAAACAACGAGTAGTCTACGTAAGCTTACGCAGTCATCTATGATCTTCGAGGAAATGTCCATGGAAAAGCAGAGGGCGCTTGGAAGTAGATTAAATGCTGCCTTCTGGGTAAAGTCGTCTTCACTGGCTAGCAAGGGCTGGAAGGCGTACAAGTTCCTGTGGGATTCTTTCTTGCGTGTGCCAGGTGCGAAGATTGGCAAGCTGGAAGGAAAGTTAGCCACCTCAACGTTGGTGGATTGCCGTATACTGAAGCCTCAATGTAACTAACTCTGATATAACGAAGTAAATGAAGAATAATCTAGCAATACTGCTATGATTACACCTTTATAAGAAGTCTTTGGTTACAACAAACTTATTTTGGTTCAAGATGCTACATTGTTTGATGAGGTTTGAGTACAATCCTCCTGTGTTTAAGAGACACCGATATTTCTTGTTGCATAACGACTGCCATGTGCGACTGCTAGATAACTGCACATTTCCATTGAGAATCTTGAAACTACAAAAAATGCATAGTGTTGCAAGTGCTCACACCAAAATCTCACCAATGTGGCACGCACTGAGCACTAAAAACGAATGCGTGCCTTGCTTAGCCCTACATTGTCGCATTGGAATTCTTGGACACTACTCTTGTAAAAGTATAGAAAAACAGTGTGGTAAGAAATATAGAAAGTAAGAACGCACACCGCAAACAAAGGCTTAAGGAAAGGAGACAAACTCTGAACTGTTTGTAGGCGTGTGGCCTTTGACAAACACATATATTGTTTGTCACAGAAACAAACACTTGAGATAACCGAAGTTTATTGCTTGAAGAGATGTGCAAATAACTAAGTGAGCCACTGAAAGAAATATTGAAATACGTAATATATTTTTCGGGACTATTTGATGGTTTTGCACTTTCTGCAACATAAAGTAGGTATTGTTTTGGACTCTGGTTTTTAGCCACTGTTTGCGAGTTTTAGCAACTTCTTGCATGCACAACTCTGTTAACATGTGTGTGTACTTCTCCTCAATAATGAAACTTGGGCATCTGATTGTTTGCTTTACTTGCGTATATCGTTACTCAGTGTGGATTAACTTACACAAGCCGCCGTAGAGAGCAAAGAAAGTGGTTGACTGATGTAAATAAGGCCTCGCCAGGCAGAAACACTGTCTCCCGAGGGATGGTCTACTGGAAACATCTTCAGTGGAGCAATGATTGATGAAATACATGGAGCTCTGGATTAGTCCATTGCATGCACCAGATGCAGAGCTGCAAGTTAAAGCTGGCAAGACTTCACGCACTTGTTTGACCAATATACACAGCGTACTCAAGGCGGCTATAGGCTGCCCATAACCCTTTTCGGCACATCGTCCTCATTTAGTTCTTTTCCTCCTATTTTCCTTCCTTCGTCCTCATTTAGAGACTACTTTTCTGTGCACCATTCGCAGCGAAACGACCAAAAACTTTCAGCTCACCATGAAGCATGCATTTATTGCGCCCAAAGGTCTTTTATAGCAGTTATTTTTAGGATGAATTCCTGCATATGCGAATTATTTATTGAAGGCGGTACATTATGTAAAAATATTTGATACGAGTTTTTCCGTAGGAGTCAATTTTTTTTACCTTTTTGGAAGTTCTCGCTGCCACCAAACCATGTAATTTGGCCGGTTATTTATTTGTCTACAAAAATATAGTTACGAATGTACAATTATATTTACATTGTTATTGCAATTAATTGCTGTAAAGTACGGCAATTTTGACACCTCCATTTTCTTTAGGTTTGGACTTTATAACATTATTATACAGTAAATTACGTGCACTCGTAAACAGTCAATATTGTGCCTTGCAAGGGGGTAATTGAATGGTGCGCTTTATACATTAGTAAACCGAACATAAATAGAAGCGACTTTACTAAACGAAGACGCCCGGAATAAAAGGTTAAGTTACAATGCAAACTCAAGTTTGGCAGTACTGGGAAACTACTGCGAATGGCAACACAACGAACGTGCCCAGCTCTTTCCCCCATATCGTGGGCTCACCTGAAAAGTTTGCGTTGCTAACGAATCTCGCCGCAATGGCGGCTGCTTCAGTGAACTTTTCACGAACCACTGGCGGTGCCTCTCCTTGTCAGTGGTTCCCAGCTTCTCAGTCTTGGTGTTGTCTCCCCTCTGCAAAGCTGCATTGACATGTCTCGTCATCACCAAATGAAAATATTTACCACATATCAGGTTCTATTTTACAAAAGCAAGGCAAGATGACGCGCATGTTGGACTGAGCTGTTTGTTCGATGAAGCGTTCGCAGTGCGCACCTAAACCTACGTCTACCCAGATTCCTGCACTTTTTTATTTCAAAAGTGTGCCCCTAGCCATAATAATTTTTATAGAAAAATATGCAGGTTTGTTTCGTGTATAAAGTCAAGTAGAAAACGATGGTACTTGGCTTCAAGCAAAATGCTGCTACAGCGGTTTTATTCCTACAGCTTTGATCGGCACAACGCCGTAGCTGGCGTGTCATTGGCTGCGAACGCTGTGAAAGCCAGCACGCTTCAGCAGTCACGTCTAGGGTTGTACGAAGCTTTAAAACCCGTTTTCTGTTGTCTGAACATGACTATGACACTAGCACCAAATTCATGTTTTTCATCGAAATATAATAAAGTAGAGGATCTATTGTGCCTGTACGTATATGAATATCGGGTTGTAAAAGGATGTATCGGTGCAAAAGGAACCCTGGAGTGGCCGGCCATTAACCTATATGAGCCCCAGAAACCGCCACTTTGCCATGGCGAGGGCGAAGTCATGTGCCGCATGACTTCACTCACGCCATGGCAAAGTTGCAGCAGCTGCGAATTGTTTACTTCTTATACTGCCGCACGTTGAGATGTGAAGTTCCTCGATGTGCATCTGGTTGCAGAACAAAAACCGCCAGGCCTGCGCGGAACGCCCAGCAGAATCGCAGCGAAAACTGGAGTGGCGGCGTTTCAGAGCCTTTCATAAAAGCTCTGTAACTGCTGCAAGCACAATTGCTTGGTACCCACTACGCCACGAATAGTCAATTTTTGTGTAGTAGGCCGGTATTCACTATGCCATCCTTCGTCACTTTTTAAAAAGCGCAGTATCCGCTACAGACTTGCAAGGAATATTGAGCAAATTTTTTATGCAACGGCTGATGACAAAGAAATATGCCTGAAATGGGTATGTACCACAGTTGTATAATACGTGATCAAGAACAAACTTTTGTAATAGGTTGGAGCTTTCGACGACCCGCTCGTTATGCGTTCAGACGCTTCGTTAAGTTCCTTTGCTGTTCAAAAACGCGTTATCACTGATGCTACGTTTCCTTTCAAGACATCAAGCCTGCCTAAGGCAAGTTGGCAATGGAGTTCTAAGCACACAGGAGACCTGGGTTCGAATACCATCTTGGGGGTATTTACCTTATTTTGTGCAATACTGAGCTTCATCGATTTACCAAGTCCCAGATCACCCGCGGACGGCCCGCGGACTCCTCGGCTCACAGGTGGTTACGTCACATGCACGTGATCTAAAAAGTCCCGAGCCAGCCCGAGCGACCTCGGGCCATCTGCGCGCTTGATGCTGACTGCATCCGCTGTGGCGTCTGCTCCCTCCATAGCTGAAACACAGACCACAACGCTGACTCATTTGCAACCTAAACAGCAGTCAGGTAGTGAATTATACCTATTTCTATTGTGATGCAACTTTACTGTAAGTGAACTACTCGAGCGCGTGCGCATCGTAAACCGGCACAGTCGTTCCACCGCTGTTTCTCCTAGCGAGCATAACGCGTGTTTGCCCGACCTTCGGGAATACGCACATGCTCGACGTGGCTCAGAACACCGATGAAAAGAACTGCGTGCGCTAACAATGCGAAATCCAGAAACATGCGAGAAGCGGACAGAAAAGCAAAGAGAGAGCAAGAGCGCATCGAAAATTTCCCGCATCGAAAATTTCCCGTGCCGCACAGCATGCGCACCGCGCTGTCGTCTGCCAGCTGCCCGGAAGAAATTGTTCGGGCGGTCCCGGGCCGCCCGCAGGCCGCCAGGCACGCGAAAAACGAACATGCGTCCGAGTGATCCTGGACCAGTGGACGGAGCTGCCAGTTGGTCCCCGAGAAAAACGAATGCGGCGCTGGCGTCCGGGGCCGTCCGGAGCCGTCCGGGACGTGCAAATCGATGAAGCTCAGTGATTACGGACCCTGGCGGCAGCGGACAGCTACAGCGCCGCAAGCGACTCCTATTGTGATTTCCTAACAGCTTTCGATGTAAAACAGTTCGCCCAAACTGACCAAAATCAATGTCATTTGAATACTGTCTGTTTCCGTATCGATTAAACAGCCCAGTTGGGTGTGTTCCGGCATTTACCGGGTACCTAGGTTTTCTAGTACTCGGTAAAGAGCTAGGTTTACTTAACGTGCCGTCCATATCGGAACACACGAGTTGTTCCACAACAAAATATGTTCACCTGCCATCTGCATTTATAACCACAACACCCGTGCCTTAGCTCATATCAGCGCAATGACGCAGCTGCCAAGTCACTATGGTGAGTGTTGGGTATACGGTCATAATCCGGCATGCCTATATATGGTAGCTTTTTCAGAAAACCATGGCTGAGATTGAATCAGCTAGAAGCATGGTTTTTTCGTGTTCAAAACCACTCGTGAAGATATGAGAAAGTGCTCACTCGTGGAATTGCCGCGAGGATGCGCACCAGGCGATCTTCTGCCAAAGTGTAACCTGGTGTGTTGCGACGACAGAACTCCTGGGGAGAACTCAATGAACTTAATAATCCTGCGAGTCTCAAAATACACTCGGACGCAAGTGGCGTTTTGCCGGTTCATGGGTCTAGTGGTTAGAAAGCGCATGATAAAGGAACACGTGCAGAGCTCTAGCTGGTGTGTAATAGTGTTAAAAGACTAGGCACACAAACATTGGCATAAGAGGAGTCAAAACACCAATGCCGATTGAAATACTGCCCAAAGAAAAACTTCTCTCGATCCCCGTCTTTACTTATTTCTTATTTGCAGCGTAAGACTACAGCCAACCACGCCAGTGAAGGCACGGCTTTATTCGGTGGCTCCACAAGCGAGCCACATTCTAACTACAATGGCAAAGGTGTGGCTTTGCTTGTTCTAAATGCATACAACCGAAAACAAATCTCACACGAATCTTGAATACAAAATTTATGTAAAAAGGAATGATGAATGACTGCCCAGTAATTAAATATTTACTCATTAGGATTATAGACCTCGATAACCAAAGCCAATGTCTTTCCTAGCATCATTGCCTTGGAAATTGTCAGACAATTTGCCATTTCCAGTCAGTTGGTCACAATTCGTGCGGGAATCGTGTTGAATAAGAGTACGTCAAAAATTTTAAAAATAAAAAGGTAACCTTAAAGGCTCCTTTTTGTTAGTCACAACATTAGAACTAACTCAAAAGAGACATGGAAAGCGTAGGGAATGTTATTTATACTAGCTATAAAGTAAACCTGAAAAAGTGGACGAAAAGAACGTGCAGCTGGCAGAGATCGAACCCGTGGCCTTCAAATAATGCGTCCGATGTTCTACCAAACGAGATACAGCAAAAAACATAACATTATGGAATAGATATATGCGTACAAATCATGGAGCGTTAGTCAGCGTTGCTGATAGCTACGGTGCAGCTGTGGAAAACTTGCTGCCTGCTGGCATCACGAAACACGCGTGATGTTTACGAACTGGCAGCTGACCAATAATCCCTCGTATACTAGCATAAGACATCCAGTCTACCCAAACGAGACTTGCTACGAACGAAAGTAGAACATTAAGGGTTCATTTTTCTATGTTAAGCACAACATGAATTAGAACAAATTAGACTCGCACTAACAGCGACACGTAAGAGCCGTAAATTTAGAGGAAGAGATATTTCAGACCCAGGTTTTGAGATTGTTAGCGTGTGTGCACAACACTGACGAAAATCTCATTCCAACGTAAGAAAAGCTCGTTGAATATAGGCATTGCACAACAATATACCGTTTACAGCATAATCGACAGCGTCCACCAGTATTTTACCTCGGCTGTGCACCTGCGTCAGTAAACTGACCGAAAGATAGGAACGGTTATTTTTGAAGTACGATAAGAGATCAGCACGAAGAAAACAGGTAAATGTAACGTATTTTAAAAAGTACCACGCGCGCTTCAGTGATAAACTACCTGCCACGTGGCGCACGCTGATGCAAGGCAACGAGCGGCATCCGAACACAAATGCTATCTATCAACGAAATGCACACGCCCAACATGGCCGCGGCATTTGAAAAGCCCAACTTTCCGACTGCGAGGTTATCAACGCAACCAGTACAGCTCACACCTTTGGACAAGATAACATTTCGGAGAACGACGGCTGCGATTAACAAAGATTTAACAAAGCTTTAAGGAGGGCGGACCTTTCACGCACTGTCGAACTCACGGAAATACAAGAGTCATGCTAACTCGATGCAATGCCGGTGACACGTCCACCTTGAAGACTCCGTCGGTGATACACGCAGGAGTGGCACGGTGCGTGTCAGAACGTAGTGTCATACTTTATGAAAGGGCCTGCGCGCTCCGGCGGCTGCTGGCAGCGCGTTCAAGCGGGAGCGAGAGCAACCACAGTCTCTTTTCGCGTCATCTCGCGGCGAGCAAAACAACCATTCGTTGCTGATATGGAACGGTAAGATTGCAGCCCCTCCCCCTTCAAGGCGATTACCGGCTCTCGCGTAATCGCCTTGAGGGGGAGGGGGTCGCAATATTGCCGCTGGTTCCAGATCAGCAACTAATGGTTGTTTTTCTCGCCGCGAGATGATGCGAAAAGAGACCGTGGTTGCTCTCGCTCCCGCTTGAACGCGCTGCCAGCAGCTGCCGGATGGGGTGCCTTGATGCCCGCGCTCCCCCGCTCGCATCGAGGCACCCTACCGCCGGAGCGCGCAGGCCACGGGCCCGTGTTCCCTTTCATAAAAAAATGACACAGTATGTACCACGTCAGCACTCCTGGAACGAAAGGAAAACTTGTTAAGAAAAAACACCCATAAAAAATAAATGGGGACTCACGAATAATGCTTGAGCGGGAAGCCACGGCTGGTCCATGTGAACTCATCTAGCATCCAACTTCCAGCTGCAACATAAAGAGGGCAAGGGGGTCAGCATCTGCAAAGGTATCACGTAAACCGTGGAAAACATCAGGGCGAGTAAATGAACGTGAGTGAACTTTTAGCACCGGGACGCCGCGTTGCGACCCACGAGAACCACATTGGCACGAAATGATTGCTGCAGGTGAGCCACGGGTATTTCGGGTTGGGTCCATCTCCCGTTGACACAGGCCTAACGAAGCTACTTAGGCTAACCGCAAGAGCCTGCTCTGTGCTTCAGGGAGGTAGCCCCGTCGCGGCACTATTCAAAGAACACGTTCGCTAAAGTTCCACGCAACCCTAAACTTGGTTGAACTGGGAGTATATAGCGAATGATGTTCGATGAACAACGCCCCAACACTTCGCCAGCCTGTCATGATAGGGGGCTCACCAATTTGATGCCGAAGACGAAGCTCGCGGTGGTCCTCCAACATCAGGCGTCGTTGTTGGTGGTGCGCAGCTCCAGAAGTCTAGATAAAGTCCACACACACGCGCGCGCAAAAAAAAAAAAATGTTGAAACGCGACTTGTTCGTATTACGACTATCGTACGGCCCGTGCCTGAAGCAAGCCACTCCACATGGCGCTGACAAGCTGCCGTCTACAGAATACGCAGCGTGACCGGCAGTGAATGAAAAATGGTGGGCAGCCAGCGTGTAAAATGTTTTTTAATTGGCGATTCCCTGATATTCGCGCATGCGCTGTTGCAAAGGCGCCATTACGTCATGGGATCGTTCTTTGCCGCCTTATTGTCGAGATCTGCGCACGGCGTGCTACGGAGGAAAGAAATCAAAGGAAAGGATGTACAAAAAAATCGCAGGAGATTTCCCACACGGCGCACGATCTTCGAGCTTAAAAAGGGATAGAAGCGCCTAAACAGCAAAGCTGAAGCAGTCTGATTGCTTCCATGCGGTCGCATTTACGCGTACACCCTGCACTCTTGATATTCAATCCACTGAATGCCATGGCTTGCAATTACGCGAAGAACGTGAGCAAATGATTAGGCTAATTATATTTGTAGCAATTGCTTTAACTTTTGTCGTGCCGCCATTTGTTATTTTCTCTTAACTTGTTGCAATAAGAAACCAGATATACGTTCAGTTTATTTTACTCATACCTCAAGTCTGCCATTTTGGTTACCGCGTTCTGCTGATGTCCCGAAGGTCGCGGCTTTGATCCCGGCCGGGACGGTTGCAAATAACACAAAGTAAAGGAGCACACAACAAGAAGCACACGCGGCACTTCCAACTAAAGTAGACCGAGCGCAAACCCAGGCTTAAGTAACGACATACAGACATGCGCAGTCTTCACGCAGCCTTACGCGGTCCAGCTATCAAACAATCGCTTCTCCGATACGTACAACGTCACCGACGTGTCGCTGATACACTTTTATTTTTAATGTAATCGGCTTCCAGCAACTCCCGCGCAGTTTTATACCTACTTATACCCATAGAATCTTAAACTTATTAAAACGTAGTACACACCCGCAGGCTTTGCAAAATGCATAGGCACATGCGCCAAGCCATCCTTCATTAGATTTAATTTATGCTCCCTAACCCGTTCATTATTACAGTGCCCCGTGGTCCCGATGTGCGATTTGCCACAAGAAAAAGGAATCTCGTAAACCGCGCCTTTGCTTATTTCCTGTACACCGTGCCATGTTTCTTGCCGCATCCCTGACGGCTCGCCTCCCCCCCCCCCCCTCCTCGAGCTGTTATCGGGCAGAGCTGAGCCAGCTTCACAGGCGCGGAAAAGGCGAGAGGTACCCCATACTGGTCTGCTACCTTTTTAAGGTTGTGGGAGACCTCATGAACATGAGGAATCACTGCAGGACTTACGTTTTCAGTTCCTTGTTCCCTGTGGCAGCTCTAGTGCCTTCACTCTTTGCTTTCCACAAAAGCGCTTCGGAGACTGCTTTCAATAACGGGTCAGGGAAATTCGCAGCTTCAAGTCGCTGGATCTGGTTTTCGAATGGTGCCTGCATCATCTGAATGCACGATTGTTCGAGAGTAGATCCCAGGCAGAGCATATATAGCTATACCATGCACGCTTGACTATTTTTGACTGGCAAGAGTCATACGGCATCATCCCTTTCTTCGCGCGAGGGAAGCACGTTTGTCCGTTATGGAAAATTAAACGATGATCTAAAAATTGCGGGATGTTACATTGCAGCAGTTCTTGTGTAAACACCAGTCCTTTTCCGTGAGTTCCAAAATATTTTAAAATATCATCGCAGCGCGTCAAGGAGCCTTGTCATGCATATACCTAAAAACCTTAGCAATGTTCAAGGTGCTATGCAGATTAAGCGCTTCGTCAAGCAACCGGTCAACATTAGATAAAAATATATTGCACAACCGCGGCGCAATGCAGGATCCAATGCAAATGCCGTGTTTCCGCAGAAAAAGCTCCTGGTCGAAAGATATGAAAGTACTCCTTGTGTAGGCTTCCAACAGAGTTAAAAAGTTGTGTATACCGTTACGCCAGCCGAATTTTGAAAGGGTATGACGCCGCTTTCTTCTTTGTATGATCTTACCGCAACAAAGAGTTCATCTGGTGGAATTGAGTAAAAAAGATCTTCCACATCTACTGAGAAGGCATTGTTAAGCGTGTGCTCACGCATTATCTCTCAGTAACTGCTCTACGTCTTTCGAACTGCTAGTGAAGAAGCGGTCCTTGATCTTGACGCAGCTTAGCACCTTCTGTAGGTGCTTACTAAGTAAAAGCTGCCATGTGTCCCGTTCGCTCACTATACTTTTGAAGGGTCCATCAATTTTGTGTGTTTTCGCGCTGAAAAATACTTTTAATGCCGTAGCTTTCATTTTGCTAATATTTGTTGCCGACTTTTCCAACTTGAGGTATTTACATAACCTGACAACCTTACTCTTACCCTTTGATTCAGATTCTTTAATCTGAACAAAATTCTTTACTATAAATTAAACATTTTTTCTTGGAAGAACTACAAAACACCCTTCTTTGTCAGCTTTCAAAATCACAATGTTTCCCTACACAACGCTACTGTATTTCACAAAACCTCGGCTTTATGGCTCAGCCTGGTACCTGAAACACAGTTTGCCTGGCTATCTACACCATCTAACAGACACATTTCTTTATTCTCTGCTGATGCTTTGCCAGCCACATATCTGTTAAGTTCCGCTAGTTCATGCACAAGAAAACTGACATCAATGAAATACTTTGGTTCCTTGGAAAGAAGCGTTGTCGAGTCCTCCGGTAGACTCACGGTTCCTAGCATCACCACAATTTATGGCTTCGCCGTTGATTTAGTGTCCTTGCTAATTTTACCGCATTTTCCTATGATTTGCTTGCACCAGTATTCCGTCGTATGATGGATGATGCGATAGAGTATACTTCCGTCTATTGCGGCAAGCTTTAAGGTTGTAATACGAACAACCGTGGGTGTTTTGTATTGAAGTGTTTGTGCTTGTACGTATTTGTATTTGTGTGTTCGAACCTTCCAGACATGTTTTCGTGTTCAGATATCATTTCATCAAGGATGTAGGGGTAATGAGAATAATAAAGAATAATTTACTTTTCATTAAAGGACCCCTGACACCGAATTTGGAAACTCGAGATGCTTATATTGTTTGAGAGTCCTCCATGGATGCGGGGCGCAATTCTAACCGATTAGGGACGGGCACTGCCTATAAGATATCAAGATGACACTTACATAAAGAATCGTTGACCGCCGACAAGTCGATTATTGTTAGAGAGCAGTTGCCCACTGCGCGCTAACGTGCGTCTTGCCGGACACAAAGTTTTGCACCCACCCAAACACCCACCTGTTATTGGAAGTCGAAGTTGAGTTTAATAAACTTTATTTGTCCTACGGTTGTGCTTGGGGCTAGGCTGTCGGGGATCCACTGTTCGAGGAACATCTTCCGATGTCCTCGGTGATGGCCCTGCCCCCCCCCCCCCCTCCGACGGCTCACTTTCGGTCTTCGATGACCTCACTGAGGAGGGCGGCTAGTCGTCACCCAATGAGGTGCACAGCATCAGTTATTTAAAAACAAATGCCCCCACCTCCCAGAAGGGAGTCGTGAGGAAATGCGAATGCATTGCTTAGCGTCCATAACAGCGTTTCGCACGTGGGAACCCAGCGTTCAAAGAATAATGTTTTTCTTTTAATTTTTACACCGTGCAGCCAATAGCGCCGTTTGCCGCACGTGGTGTTTTTCTGTCGCGAGAAACTCGGTGTGCGTTTCCAGCTAAAGTAGCTAGAGTACATGGTTAAAAAATACTATGAAGTGAACAAAGCTAACGTTGTCGGCTCGGCGTTGGCGTTTCACAGCGGCGTCCCGAGCACACATTTCCGGATGGTCTTGAGAGGCGCCCAGCCAGCGAACGGTCGAGAGTGAGGCGCGAGCGAACGGCAAAGGGGCTCAGGGAGAAGAGAGAGTGATCGGCGAGCGAAGGAGTTGCGAAGCACTGCACCAAAGAGGATACATAAAACTTGCTGGAGTGGAAGGGGCGCTGTGCGAGTGAAGCCAGCCGCCGCCATCTTGCCAGTGGCAAAAAGCGTGCTCAGCGCCATGGCGAGCTGCTGATTTCGTCCGTTCTTGTTTCACCTTGTCGGCATGTAAAGACAAATGGTTTACAATGGTTGCCTCCTGCGTCGTTTACGGGTGTGCCAACAGGTTGAAAAAAATGTTGTGGTCTCACATTCCACCTGTACGTACACGAAAACGTCTTCGACATAGCCATTCCGCGCTCGTTACTAAAGGGAGCTATAGCTGACGCGATCTAAGCGTGCAAAACATATTAGTCCGGATTTGTTTTACAGGCTTCGTAAAGATCCCGTAACGCGGAGCCTCTGGGAGTGGGCCGTTTGCCGTGAAAAGTAGAATGCGAAAGACTGAGATCACTTCGCTCTGTGCACTTCGCGCCAGAGTGCTTTGACCACCTCTTTGACATTGAAGGGAAGCATGTGAAATGGGGTTATGAAGTGGCATTTAAGGCACTTCAACGTGAAGAAGGGTTGTGGCTCATAAACAAACTTACGAAAGTCCACGTCTAATGGGAAAAGCAAGAAAATGAAGGTATGATATGCTGTACAACTGATAGAGTGCCTTAGATGCCGACGCTTTGGACTTCTGCGAACAAAAGCTAAAGCTGCCGAAATTCAAGGGTGCCAGCACAAGATCTACGTTTATTAGAACTTTTGATCTCTTGTTTGACATCTTAAACTCCAGGAACCCGCTGGCAAGGTCGTACAGAGCGCCCCTCTGGCAGGGGAACGAAGCATTCTGGAAGTCGTTTTTTTTTTTTTTTGCGGAGACTCGAGCGTACATAAATGGGCTGAGAGATCCGGCAGTGACAGAAGGACTGAAAAAAAAAACGGATTCATTGGTTTATGGATACGCATGGCAAGCACGGAAAGAATGTTTGACAGACTTGTCAGCCAGGGTCAGCTGAAATACTTACTGACACACAAACTCAGTCAAGACTATGCCGAAAACTTCTTTGAATCGATACGTGGATGAGGCGGCCATAACAACAACCCAACAGCTTCGCAGTTTATGGCTGCATACAAGCGTCTATTGGTTCAGACGGAAGTCACGTCTTCAAGTTCTGGACACTGCTCCCAAGATATTCTCTCCGTATTGAATGCAACGACTCCTGCAGCCATGGTAGATCCAAGAAGCAATCTCACTGACATGCGCAAGGCCCCAGTCCTGCAGCCCGATGACCACGACAATACGCATCGCATTGACTAGCCCGAAAGCTTTTCTGCTTTTGTCGGTTCCGTGGTGCCATACATAGCAAGCTTCATTGTTCGAAAGGTTGAACTGCAACTACCTGTGAAGAGTGCATAGCAGCCATGCACTCAGATGAGCGGACACATTTATTTAAATGTAAGAGGCGAGGTGGTCTTGTTTCACCGTCGCGAGATGCCATTAGCCTCTGTAAAGAAGTCGAGGACTGAGGCGGCTACAGGCTAAATGTGATTCCATCACAACGGTGAAGTCAAGAGCAAAACACCTCATCCTGAAAGTTCTATGAGCTTCCTCTGAGAAAAACTGGTTCCATAAACTAGAAAAGAACGTCCTAGACTTTGATACGCTTGATAATTAGGTTTACAGTTTGTGCAGGCAAATCGCCGAACAATACGTAAAAGTGAGGATACAACACATGACGAAGGAAAAAAACCGAGAATCAGTCAAAAGTAAGGTGGGACCACTTTTGACAAAGGCAATAATTTTCAACCACCAGTAGGGCACCTATGTTTTCGATGATGTGTTTGCTTTAGGCATCGCTATTTAATGCATGTGCACTTTAATTGAGTTCTCTACATGCCACTTGGCTGCGTACAAGTCGTAATAAACATTTACAACCAGAATTACTTGTTTTCGTTGCTTTATAAACACACGAGTCACTTCACCCGCAGCACGATGAAGCATGAATTCGCAGCGCTCGGCTCTGTTCTGCCACTGGCAACATGGCCGCCGCACGCTCGGCGCGGCTTCACTCTCTCCCGTAGCGGCGCATAGGCAGCTTCCACTCCAGCAAGTTTTATGTATCCTCCTTGCACTGCACCTACCCTCTCCTACAGTCTCGCTCCACATGCTCCGGTTGCTAGGGACGAGGATAAGCGCGCGCACCCGCAGTTGTTGCTATGGGAGAGGGCGGTGGACGTATCCCGACGGACGCCTGACAAAGCCCGATTAAGGAATGCGTTGGTATTTAAAATGGCTCATGCAAATACCTGCAAATAAGCATGTGAGCGGCGCACTTTTAAGAGCCTATTAGCATATTTTCGCGCACTCACCAATGCTGGGGTTTTTCGCGAACAAAATCGTTGCTGTCACCACTGAAATCTGAAACACGCAGAGGCCTCGCGGTAAATTAGACAAATGTTTTCTGTATTGCACAAGCGATCGCAAATTTATTTAGCTGCTTCTAAGCTCACAAATTTGTCCGGCCTTTCTTCACAGAAACACCTTCACAACAGCAACACACCATCCTCTTCCAGATAGATTCTGATGGCCGTGGGATTCACTGTTGAAGTCGCCATCTCGATTGTCCTTCTCTGGTTCGAAGCGACACACCAAATTTGGGTGATGTTCGTAATGCTTTGCTACTATACATGGCACACACCACTACGTTTTTGTCTTGTTTTGTTATGCGTTCGCCTGTTCGCTTTATTTTTGATGCATGCAGTGTCTCGGCAAACGTAAATAAAATAGCCTTCCAGCCTGCATATTTAAAGACGCAACCCGTATTCTGCAAACTATTGCTAAAAGGTAATCTATATACTGCTATTACGACAGCTGTACCACCAATAAGATTGTGTATACCATTGATACATGTTAGAATGCAGAAATGAAAACACCTCAAAGAAATGACACTCAGACGTCGTCGTTTAACGTGTAGTTTTTCGTGCCGGTGCCTCCATATCAAATGGCCACCAGCCTCATTTAGTTCTGATTTGGCATAACATAGTTACTTCGTGCCATGACGCAAGAGCTCATATAAGCATGTGCGCGCGCACGCCGCGTGCTTCTAATATATGTCCAGAACACGCTGTCTCGAACTTTGCGTTAGCGACCTACTACATGTCCACGGGTACCTTGGCCACCATTTCCTCACACTGTAATGGCTCTTTTTCCTCAAATGTGCACTTGCTTGCCAACTATCGTCCGCGCTACCTGTTCCAGCCCTTCTTGGCTTCACAAGTCGGTAACGCCCGCTGACTTGCTGCTATGATGCTGAGAGACCCACTGTGTTTCATGACCGTGCGAGACGTATGCGGCTAACTCGATTTTCGGCGAGGGGCCTGTAAGGACACCCTTTTTGACCCTTGCGTTCTGCATAAGCGGATAGCGACATATTAAGATAGGTATACACGCTGCCGCAAGCATTTGAGCGCAGTTCAAGATTTGCGGGTATAAGCACCGTTTAAGACACCTGTTCTTGCCTTGGAGCCTGCCAACGCACATTTTAGGTGTCTACAAGAGTCATAACAGTCCCTCGAGGATCCGTGTACTCGGCTGCGCTTCAGGACGGCCTTTCTAGAGGTGAAAGTCGTCCGTCGCCTGTTCTGTACTTGAAGAAGGCAAAAAACAATGTTGACTTGCCAAAAAGCCTTTGACCTGGCGACTACGTAGCGCAAGGGGTCTTCTGGACGGGAGCACACATTCTTAAGGATGTGTTCAATTAGCGACCGTCAGAGATCACGAAGCCGGGCTCATTTCCCCTTCGTCGCGACGGCGGTGGTTCCTTGGACGACGGCTGGGCATCGATGTCGTTTTCCGACGGGTCTTCCGGAGGCAGCGTTGGGCTGCTCGTGGAATCGATGGATGGCGCCGGCGTCTTATCCGTGGCCGTAGGAACCGCGTAGTCGCGAGTCGCCGACACGCTCACTGTCTCGCCAGTAGCTGTGTCCGACGTCGTTTGTGGAGCGTCCGTGCTCCCCTGCGCTGCCGTCTCGGTTATCGGAGGCGCCCCCAAATCTCCTCCGGCGCCTCGCGGACCGACTGTTTCTGCTGCCATCGTCGGTGCTTTGGTCGTTGTCGCTAGGCTGGGAGCTCGCGTGGTAGTCACCACTGAAGAGGCGGGTGGGGTGACCGACGCCTCGGAGGCTCCGCCGGTGGTCTCGGATTCCTCTTCCGAGGACGCCTCCTCGGTCGTGGTGCTGGCGGGTCCCGTCGACTTCGAGAGCGTGCCCGTTTGCGTGCTGCTCCGCGTGGTCGGCTCGGCGGTTGGGTGTCCCCTCGAGTCCGGACACGGCTCGCCGTGGTGCGGGTGCTCGAAACCGAAGCCGGTTTCTGGTTCGTCGTCGTACGACTTTCCGGACGCCGGTGGAGTGGCCGGACGGAACACTTCATCCTGCACCAGAACGTGTAGCAGTAGATAAGACACTGTGAAATCTGTTCTCGTTTTTATCGCTCGTTCCAAACTCTTGGCAAAAAAACGTTTCGACACTTTACGCCACTTTAAGATAACCAAGGTTTTATCGCTGCAGTGGCGCTCAAATGACAATGTGGCAGTGAACAACAGTTAGTGATGCCCCGCCGCGGTGGTCTAGTGGCTAAGGTACTCGGCTGCTGACTTGCAGGTCACGGGTTCGAATCCCGGCTGCGGCGGCTGCATTTCCTATGGAGGTGGAAATGTTGTAGGCCCGTGTGCTCAGATTCGGGTGCACGTTAAAGAACCCCAGGTGGTCGAAATTTTCGGAGCACTCCACTACGGCGTCTCTCATAATCATATGGTGGTTTTGGGACGTTAAACCGAACAAATCAATCAACACCAGTTAGTGAATAGTGTTATAGTTGTGGAACACTAAGATTGATGATTGATGATTTGATTGATATGTGGGGTTTAACGCCCCAAAACCACCATATGATTATAAGAGGCGCCGTAGTGGAGGGCTCCGGAAATTTGGACTACCTGCGGTTCTGTAACGTGCACTCGTGGAACACTTGGAAAAAAAGCCGATAGTACTCGTATTAGTGAATTATTCTTTCACAAAATGAAGCGCTAATCTTCTTCACCCAGCGCTGCTTCAATTGCAAGAAGTGCTATCATGTGATCTTGTGTATATAGGTCTTGGTGTACTTATTTCCCACGCTAAATCTTGCGCTGACGCCATTCACTTATGTGTAGGCCCTGGCTGTGTCTTTGAATCTCGCACCTAATGCAGCTCCACTACCGTGGAACTGGTTAGCACGGGGACCCGGTGATTTACCTTGGCAAACACATCGCTTTGATTTTTCTGCGCGACACTGGTCTCAGCCGGGTGTTTCAGAAGCGTTTTTTCAATATAATAAGTAAATTATTGTGACTAATTCTTGGTTGTTTCGGTGCTTTACAATATTTCAAACTGTCATTTCATTGTGCAGTGCTTTTGGACACTGTTAGCTTTGCTTTAAGCATGTGCTAACCACTGTGAAACCGTGCGACATCATAGACAGTAGATGGTGGCAAGGCGGGTCGCCAAAGTTCCGTGTTGCGCATTTAATAGATAGCTTGCACGTGACGTCACAGTCGCAGCGTCACAAAGTACTGGTCCACCAACATTGCGACCTTGCATGACCTTAAGGCGGTACGAATAATCACATCGCGCTTAATCTGCTTCATTGATAACGATGTGGCCAGAACACTATTGGCCTCTGAGCGTCAATAACAAGAGAACTTGCAAGTTATGTAATGATAATGTCTACACACGACGTCTCAAACATTGTGTGTGCCATGAGGTTCAACGTGGCGGTTTCAGTGACGTTGGTGCAAGCTATCTATGCCTAAATCATCACGATTTCACTGCGAGAAGGCGCTTGGTAAACGAGAAAACACGCAACAAGAAAATACGGGTGGCGACGGCACAGTGAATTCCCCGCGTCAATCGCCACGACGTCACAGATTGTGAAGGCATCTACCAGGGCTCTGATGTAGCCGCGTGGTCACTTTACAGCGGCAGCGCATGACGTAACGTTCGCGCAGAACGCGGCCTATGCGATTTCACTGTTACGGCGGTGCCGAGCTGATGACGAAGTGGTACATTTGGAGGGTCGACGTGAACGCGCTCGCACATATTCGGTAGTGTGGCACTTCTTCGTACAACGCAATGGTGAATTCGGGCTCATGTATCAAGACATAGGGACTGATTAAGAAACGAAAGGAGAAACCAGCGTTCGTCTGTACTGTCATTTCTAGCAACAAACACAATATAAGCGTTTCCTAAATATGTAACACATGAATCCCGAACAACATAAATTTTAACTGGTTACAAGCCAACAGCCAAGAATAAACAAAAGAATCTCTGTAACGAAATGAACCAAATGTTATTTCATAAAATAAACAATTGTTAAATATATTTCTGCGCAATATTCTACTCAAAAATGTTTGTGCTAATTTTTTTCTGTTTTTCTACATTTGCTATTCAAAAAATTATAGTGTGTTAGATCTTGTACCGATATTATGTTGACTATTAAAACTAGAAAAATATTTCTGGTTGTGTATATTATTAGCAACAGGGCTCTAAATGCGATTATCAGGCTGTACTTCGAATACGTTAAAGGTGGTTTCGTCTTTCATCAAAAAATTACGTAATTATATTACACAGCCTTCTGTTATTACAGCGTTGTACTCTGAAACCACCCCCTAGAACGTTCCGACGCATAATGCAACGTAACATGTCAAGGGCCACGGTCATGAGCCGATTCGCCTTCGTTCAATCGTATACGTGCATCCGATGTGCGCAGTGACTTGTATACTCACGGTGGATGGCGCTCCCCGCAGCCAGTTCATGAAGTCTTTGAAGGCCGCCTTGATGCCGGCTGCGAATAGTGCGGGAAGGAAGACGGATTAGTCGAACCATTGTGAAAGTATACACTTGAATAGTATGGGACAGTTTGGTACGTGGTGACAGTGTGAAGGTTCCAGCATGTTACGATTCGAACACGTGAAAAGGAAAACCTGCGTACTTTAGGTAGGGTGGCTACTTTAGGGGCCTGTCTTTTTCACCATCCATGCATGCCACGTGGCGTGATAACGCTCGCGGTAAAGCGCTCAATACAGGGCCTAGCAAGGCTATCAATGCTCGAAACCGGGTCAAGATGAAGCAACAATTAAGGTCTAAAATATTATAATTGACAGAAATAACCAAGGAGTGATCGCAATAATTAACTTCGAATTGCTAGAAAATATTTGTAAGCGTGCGACTGACTGCGGCGACGTGCCACAGAGGGCGCCACCACTCCGCCGAGCAATCGAATGCCTGCACTTCGCGGGCGCTGCGTTGCTACATCTGATGGGGCAAATAACCTGACCGAACTCGCTGTAGACGACGCGTGTCTTAACAGCCGTAACAAGCAGGAAGTCGATGAAGCGCAGCAAAGACCATGTAGACCATGTAGCACATATAGATTGTGAATATGAATGTGAAGAGTCTACTCAGTGCCTCGGAAATACATACATGCTTAGCTCAAATATTGACGTCATCGACACTTTGGTGAACGGAAACCCTATGAAAGGGAATTGCTGGGTGGTCGTGCTAAGCGTTCCGTCAGTTTCTATAGCAATAGAGCTGCCATATTATTACTTCATTTTTACTTTTGCTTTGTTACGAGTGTACTTGCTTCACAATTTGTATTATTTGTTTGTATTTTTTTCTCTGTTGCCTAGTATTATATAACGTCCAATTCCTGCGATAGCCCTGAATAGGGCTGCAGTATGTATAAATAAATAAATGAATGAATAAATAAAATAAATATGTTTTTTTTTTCGATGTGCTCGCGTCGTAACTTGCTAGAATCATTCATACCCGCATATAACATGTGACAAACACTTCGCGAAACGTTTTTACCTTCAAAAAGAATGACAAAATACCGCACAAAAGGTGCGCATCAGAGTGATTTCGTATAAACGGTCCTGGCGTACAACATTAACAAAGACAGCTATTTGAAGGTTTGTCGTCAGCACCTTCAAAACCTTCTGAAATTAGTCTATTGATAACGCACACCGCAATTCTAAGCACGGGATTTTAGTTGAGCTTGTTGGTATACAATCGAACACAGGTTTGAACTGGTAGAAGATAGGAAGTGAGTCAGTCACGCGAGCCCTGACGAGTGAAGGTCCTCATGTCAAAACGCTGCCAAACTGAAAACGCCGCGGTGAATAGCCGATTCATCATGAAAGCAATGTTAATTTCTTCACGTAGTTCATCCCAAGTTCAATAATATATACTGCTATTAGGAGTCTAAAAGGACCCCAGGAGGTTTGATCTCCTTGGGCAAAACTGACTAACAATGAATAATTTCCCCAAATTTTCAGGCAAATGACTTGAAGTGGTTAGAGTAGCACTGTAGTTTTTACGTTACAGTGGCGCAGCGGACGCTCGTCCAGCACCAATCAAACGCGCACTGTGTAAACTGGAGTTAGCGTAACTGTTGTGTTGTGCTGTTCCGTTTAGTTTCGTTCGCAGTTTCGGTTTTTGTTTCCATTGTCATGCGGCGCCTGGTGCAGCAGTGACATGTATCATATGTATAATCATATGTGTAAATAAATGAGTTGGTGACGAGCCCGTTGTTCGAGGCCGACGTTTTTCTTTCCGCGCCCAAGTCGTGGGTGGCTGCCGCCGGCAACGGCGGTGCTTCGTTGTTCTCCTTCGTCGGCGTCGCGGCCAGCTCAACCCCGACCCAACAGGAACAGCCCTGACACCCCGTGTTTGTTACGAGAAAGGCCTTGAGCGGTTGATGTAATATATAGCATGGCTTTCTTACAGGTATACAGTCGCACAATTTATTCGCACAGGAAACACCTCCCGAGGCACGCATTTCTACAGTTATAAACGTCAGGAGCATGGGCCACGAAATTCGCACGACGTGCGTGTTGCGTGGGCTAAAGTGGACTAGCAGACTTCTCCGACGAAGACAAGTCGACTTGCCGAGACGTCGGGTCCGGCGACCTTCACTGTTCTGCGGTAATCCACCATGCTAGGGTAAAGGAACGCGTCGTCACATCAAAATATGCACCTTTGTCTCCTGATAAAGTGTATTTATTTCGTAAATGTTGACGGTGTGAAAGTTAGTTCCTTCATTTGCCGCTCGTGCAAGCCATAGTTTGAAATGAAGCTTCCAGGACATTTCATCCACGACACATGCTTTGAGCTTCGTAACAATGCCTTCAAAGAGATACTAAGGTCGAATAACAATTTACGCCAGAGTGAAAGCTCAATGTATGACGACGTCTAAAATGACAATATTATCAACATAGGTACCGAGAAACTAAGGTAAATGCACGAGAACACATGCGCTAAGCGTAGGACATTTGCAAAATGATCCCGATGACTTCAGAGTTACCACCTACAATTAATCACTTGTAATGTAAATAGATGCACTATAAGAGTTACCCACACCATGAGCGATCGAAGAACTCAGCAGCCCCATCTCGCAGGGACCTGGCTCCCTCGGCGATGGTGTCCAGCAGTCCCCTTTTTTGCACGCTATGCCTCGCTGTCCTCGCCGCCATCTTGGACTGCGCACGACGCCAGCGCCGCTGCGGACGCCAGGGATAACCAGGAGCAGCAAGGTGCGAGTGTCCATCTTGTTGCTGCACGGGTGAACAAAAATGGATTCTCATGAAAAACGCCAATTCGCTTCAGGTCACCCCTAAATGTCTTCAAATCTTTATTTTCATTCGCTCGTCAAAAGAAAAAAAAAACAACGCTGATTACTATATGCAGATTACGTGTCTTTATTGAACTTTACTGCTAGTCCCCCGCGCCATTGTTGAGTGGCCAGATGTCACAAATGATCAAACTGTCCTTCGTATTTGTGCCACTTCGGTGCTCGAAACGTTTCGTAAGGTCGCTACATTTGAAGGGGACACTACAGATAAACAATGAGTTGTTTCAGATTGATAAACTGCCCTCTCCGAACTCTAATATCAGAAGCTTCACTGCCATATGTCCATTACTAGCGGATAAAAGCAAGGTTGAAGTTTCATTTTTAAATTACGCGCCGTATTATAATCTTCGCGCGTAACGTAAGAAGTTTCACTATGCATTTTTCGTACTTTCGCGACATTGGCTCGATGAAATTTTGTGAGACTTTGTATTCCGCCTATGGCACCTATCGATGGCAATGTACTCCAACTTTATTGATTAGAAAGTACGTAGAACCCGGTAGACGCCTTCAAAATTTATGGTGTCTCGTGCGGAACCTCGAGGTGGCGTCTCCACTCGCAGTTTCTTTTCGCGCGTTTCCTCGCTTATTTAGGGTCGTGTTGCAGCAAGAGGGGTGTTTTCAGAATTAAACAATACGCGAAAAAGCGTTTTAGTCTGTAGTGCACCTTAATATTGCTTCCTCATGCGACAGCTGCTGACATTTTCTTAAGACTAATAGACAAGGCGGATGGAACAACGTATATGCGTCATGAGAAAAACCCCTTTTTGCAAAGTCAGGGGTGTACTTTGTGGAAAAGCGTTGCTCAGGTTCTGACTAGAACGCGCTCAGAACAGTTTGTCACAACACAATGTTGGTACGAATATATCGTCACAAATGAGTATAAACGTTAAGAAAGCAACCTCTGAACGTCACCAACTTATATTTACTAAAATTCAGACTACCCAGTGAGATACAAAGTTTTACAGCTTCTGCCTGTATTTGAGTTACGGTGGTGTATATTGCTGAATCACTGAACAAGCGGTGACAAGAAAAATGCCGAAAGTCCACGGCCACATGTCCAAGATTCATAATTTCATGCAGCAGTTTCAGATTGCTATTAATCGTCGCCAGCTGTCCTGCGTTTCTTGCGCATTTCCTGGCTTTCTGATAATCCTCACGATACACGTCCGTATATTACCGCTGTGAGAGGGCAAGTTTGCTAACACCAATAAACTGCACGAAATCGCGACATGTGGCTAGTTGATTTGTGATAACATGGGTACACGATTCGCTGGCGATATATGACGGGACAAGCGGATATTTCTGAAGCCATATTTCTTATAAGAGGCGCAGGTCTTCCCTTCGTGTCGTGCTGTCTGTACGATCAAACTCTTAAAGATGGCCACGGTTAACAATCGCTGAGACGTAAAGTTAGGGAGTTTCTGCGTGCGATCACGTTTCAGCCCGGGTAATAAATAAATAAATAAATAAATAAATAAATAAATAAATAAATAAATAAATAAATAAATAAACGCAGCACGAAAAATTGAAATGTTCATGCTGCTCGGAATGGAGACGTGTATGTTTAAACTGTGGTACGTTATTTCGCACTTCACAAAATGTGAATGTAACAACAAGTTCTCGCGCCACGCGAACTTGCACAAACCTCGATGTGGAGAGAAATAAAGTGTGTCAGCGCGCGTACGGTAATAGAACGAAACAACGTGCTAAATGATAAATATATTTAACATTTTTCACTTCTGTCACCAATTAATTTGCTTACGCAAGAAATGTTTTAAAACGAAAGGTAGCTCACATGTGCACTAGTAAGATTTTCAACCCTAATGCTTTTTTTTTCCTTGGATCATCCCTCATTTGGTCATTGTATCGGGTATCTTTCTATGCCCCTTCCTCAATTCCTCAGTGCAGGGTAGCCAACCGGAGGGTTCTTTGGCTTAACCTCCTTGCCTTCTTGTTTTCTTCCTTCCTGAAGTGGAGACTTGTTTCGCCGCGGGACAGCTTCTAACACCTTCCGAGTGATTTTTAAAATTAAATTGATGATACCCAATTTTTACTTACACGTTACCATGCTTTTGTTTGTGTAGGTAACTGCTGTTCAAGTTTCTTTCAGGGCAAGAAAGAACAAGGTACAATTTGCCTAGAGGACTAGCGAAAGGCGATCAAAGCCTGACAAGGCGCCCGCCTCCTGCGAACTGATCACCCCACGAGAGTGACACAAGGTTCAGCGTTATAATTAACAACGCTATACATGAGTAAGAACATGAGCCCGAATAAAATGTACTACATTCAAGTCATATCTGCATAAGAAAACCAATCAGATGACCGAACTGATCCAGACAATGACATCAAAAGGTTACGTGTGCATTCAGCAATTCCCACGAAGGTTAGAGAACAGGAACTGAATGTGAATGTGATCTGCATGTATAACAGGCTACGTAAAGTTGCAAGAACTCCAGAAACAAATACTTTACGGAGTACGAAACTGTGATGATGATGATAAGGTTTTTAAGATCGTAATTGTGACTATTTTTTGTTTAGGAATGCAATATGGGCTGATATCCTCGATGACACAGCAGCTACAAAAGGATGTTATTTCAGAAAATGTGGCAAAAGACACATTAGTTTTCTGTATCATATCCTGTATTTTTCTTTTCAATTAGCCCGACGTATTTACTGTATCTCAAAGCGAATGACACCTAATTTTACCCGTTCTGCGGTCCTCCTTGTAGGTGTGAGCCGTTTGCGCTGAGAAACCAAACAAAGAAATAACGCGAGTCAGTTAGACGTATACGCTCGTCTGACTGATACTCAGAAAACACTTAAGCAGTGGAAAGGAAGTATACATTTCACACCGGTGAAAGCGATCTTTCAAGGCCTGCCGTATACCGGCGCTTGCTCATAGAGAAGCGTTGAAGTGCGCGGAATTACCGTCTCCGAAAATTGAGGCCAGATAACAGCAAGCTTAATTAATAACGACGTTTTGACGAAAGTGGCGAAACGCTGGAAAGCTAGCTTTATGTGCGTGCTGATTCATCCTTGGTGGAGCTAGCTTGCTGCATTTCATTTAATCTCTCTTTTGTTCTTGCTTCCTTGCTCTCACATGAAACCAAGATACAGTTGAAGCCGAAGAAAGCTTACAGGATTGGATATGTTCTACAGTAGAAATAAATGAAAACAGTGGGAAAAACCAAGATAAAAGTGGACGCAAATGCATTTTTGGACCCTGCTATGCATGCCAAGTGGACCCTGCTATGCCTCTTTGTGCGTCTATTTGTATGTTTTCATGCATATGCTTAAATCATACAAACTGTGAAACTTAAAAGGTTGGGCCCTCCCACTTTTCTAGGCCACCGCAACAAATTTCTAAGCACTGAAAGTAATCAAATATACAGAACCTTTTTCAAAAGTTTCATAGCCGCTCTGCCAGATACGCATTATACGAAATATACGGTGGCCCGAAGAAAACTGCGCATGCTGTAGCGTAATGCCTCTGGGACCACCTGAATTTTGTGGTGCCGTTATAGCTGAGGCATAAATCTACATGCGGTGTCATATACTGCGCTGAGCCATCTTTTTCTCGGCTCCTCCTTCGCGCTTACCTTGAGTCGAAGAGAGTCCTTAGCGGCGGCGGCCTTCTATGTATACATCATACAGCAGCAGTGCGGTAATCGGCAATCCGCTTCCGTGTAGCACTTATGCCCTGTTTTGCCGGACGGAGAGATTTACCCCATATTCCACGGCACATTTCCATATACTGTATATGCGCCATGGCTGAGAATTCGGTCCCCACTCTCTGAAGCTCTTATAAGTGTTTTTCCCGCGCATAATCACTCGCTCGCAGGCACCTTGCGCGGATGATCAGTGCAACGGTCCAGACGTGAGGCACGGTGAACGATGAGCAGCAGCATAGTCGAGCGACTCGCAATCGATCGCGTCCCTGTAGGAAGGCTGTATACATACACTGAAGCACACTGTACATATACAAAGCTCGCGTATTCATCGGCGACCACTGGAGCTTCTCCGCTCGCACAAGGTAAACACATTACGAAGGCGCCACGACCGAGAAACAAAGGAAATCATGAGGGAAGGTGTGAGGTGAAAATAGCAAGTGGACGAATGACCACGTCTTGCCTCGGAAGAAAAGGCTGACGTATCCAGGCGTTCGGGGGCGCAGCTTTTTAGCTATAGGAATACGTATACTCCCGTATTCACAAACGCTCCTCGACTCGACTTTCACCCTTCACTTGCCCCGCCGCGGTGGTCTAGTGACTAAGGTACTCGGCTGCTGACCCGCAGGTCGCGGGTTCGATTCCCGGCTGCGGCGGCTGCATATCCGAAGGAGGCGGAAATGTTGTAGGCCCGTGTGCTCAGATCTGGGCGCACGTTAAAGAACCCCAGGTGGTCGAAATTTCCGGAGCCCTCCACTACGGCGTCTCTCATAATCATATGGTGGTTTTGGGGCGTTAAACCCCACAAATCAATCAATCACCCTTCACTTGACAGAGTGGAGCACTGCGCCGCTGCTCGGCTGAAAATGACGGTGCGCTACTCAAGAATAGCAGCAAATTATCACTGATATGCAGTGACTTTCCCTGCCTAGAGACGGCGCTATCATCAACTTTCTCAAGTGAAGGTGGAGCGTTGAGTGAAGGGGCGTTCTAGAATACGGGGGGTAGTGTTGCCGAACACTTCTTTTTCCTTAGAAGCTCGGAAAGCTCTTGGATATAGCTGCAGGCGATCGTGTGAGTGGACGCTGCGAACAAGGACGCGATGGGCGAATGGAAACAAGGTTGCGCGCACAGTGTGCGCGAAGAAGCCAAGAACAATAACGAAGAAGCGGGAACAATGCGACGCGCCAACCGGTTTGTCTCTCACGTGGGCGCCGCCCCGGCCGCTGCACGGTTCTCAGCGGGCACGAAGCGAGGCGCTTTGTCCGTGACTGTGCGACCAGTGTATAATTCCTCGCGATGACCGTTTTCTCACGCATCTCGAGACGAAGTTGTTCGTGCGACGGGATGGCAGGATGTGTTCCTCGAAACAAATGAGATCTGTGCTGGCCATCGGAAACACGGTGGCGTGACGGTGTATATACACTTGGCCAATTAATAACGGATACCAAGCCTCCGCTGTTCCACCCAGAGCCTCGAGAGGAACACGAGGGTATACTGTGAGACCACGGCGAGCTTCTGACCGTGAGAGATTTACTCTGGGCAACATACGACCTTCCAGAATCAAGCAAGCGACCAAACAGACATACGAGTGCGTGTACATAACCAATGGAATAGAAGATGCACGTCCATGCACTTTAAAAATATATAGCTAAACGAGATTTGAACTAACGGTTTGAGAGCGATAAGTGGGTAAGTAATGGGCCTATAAATTAAGACACAGCAAGACAGAGATGCCGATCAGAGAGCAAAGAGGGGCAAACGATATTGTGCGGTTAACAATAACTGCGAAAAATGGGGAGGGGGATGAAATACAACATAGCAGGCTCACGGTCTATGAGGATCATGTGATGTGCACCAAGGAGGTTTATTGATAAACCTCCTTGATGCTCACGCAGAGAAAGGTACTGGTGAAGTTGAGGACAACGGAGCGATAGGTGCTGCGATGGAATTTAACAGGTTTAGCGGTATAAAGTGATATCAAGACGCACTGAAACCGCGGGATTATTGGATATTTCATCGAGATGAGACTGCAGTGGCCATAATGCAAGATGGCAGATACGCCGTCGTTTTTAGCACTCATTGCAACTGTATACCCCGTTTACGAATAGTAAATAACAAACACCGGGAGCGTACGTATACACTCCAGTAAAGTACGCGATCAACGGCTGACCTTAGAAAGGTCACTTTCTCGAAGCTTGAGCTACCAGAAATTTCAGAGGGCATTTCGCGAAGGTCCGAGTCGAGGCTCACGCGATGACAGGAATTCTTCCGTTGCAGGCATGCAGCGTACATTTACGCATGCGCGTTCTTTCATATCATCACTGCTTTCCTGCAACCGTGATTCCCCAACATTTCTATCTTTGTTCGTTTTTGTGCTAGGGATTCTATTTCTGCCGCCAGCTCAAGCTGGAGGATATCGTTCTATCCTGCGAAGATTATGCACCTTACCTCTGTGACTTCGATGGTCTGAGCAGCGCAGAACTGATGTCGCGTTGCTGCTCGAACACTCTTTTCCAACTTCGAGGGGAATTTTTCTTTTGCAGTTATTGACACCGCTCTTCTCTTTCTTCTCCCTGATTATTTTTTTTTTAAATTTAACGGAAACGGTGGTGGCAGCCCCTGCAACGGGTAACGGGCACTACCGGTGATGGTGTCATTAGGCGATTCACGCGATTGATTTAAAATACTCTACGCGGGCGCACGCCTCTCCCGGCTGAATGCAAAGCTGCTCCCGAGGGTGCAAGCGCTGCGGAAGCCCGGCGATCACCAGGGCAACACGATCGCTGACCCGACAACACGAACTCTCCCCACAGGGCTGGCGGCCGCCGCCCTGCAGACGCGACTCGTGAGCGATCGGGCATCGCCTCGCAAGTGACGCGAATACAAAAGACATCCGCACCGCGGCTTAAGACTCGGTGCAAGAAAGGTCGCACGCGTAGACAGAGTAAAAGCAACCTTGTGTAGTGGGTAGCGCACATTCTACACAGTACAGAGAAATAATAATGATGCAACACAAGCGAAATGTTGTGTTGAATTCGCTCTATGCGGCATTTAAGACGCTAGACCGACGACGGAATTCGTTAAGAGTAGCCAAAGTTGATGTTTCGGAACTACATGGTGTCGTCGGCGCGAACTTTCAAGTTGTTACGCGTTGATCATCGTTCTCTTTCAATAAGGAATCACGTGCTGCGAAGATAGAGATCATTTTTAAAGAACACCTCATCAGTCTGTAAACGCCTCTGGTGTTTGTTTAATGGTCAATTTACTCATCAATTTTTCTTGTTTTTATTGGAAATGATCTAAAAGTGCGCACCTTTCTCACCTCATCTGCGCTGCCAAAGCTTTTCCGGAAAAAAAAAACCTGGGGTGTTGAGCTGACACTACATTTCCATTCGCTACGCTGTGAGTGCACATGCGTAGGCTTTACCTACGCTTGTGAACCGTTAGAAATTTGTTATTTTGGTTTATATTAACTGCATGGCTACTTTTATTTAATGTGCTTCCTCCTCACCTTTCCTTCTCTTTCTGCGGCAGGTAGACAAATTGCGCCCGACCTCAGTATCAGACAGGTACCTCGTATTGGGCGAGAAGGGTATGCACCCAACACGATGCTCAAGCTCTAACCTATTGTGTCGCGCTGACTTTAATGGATAGCCATCCAACTTTCTCACGATAACATGACGCATGCGTGAACCATTATACCCCTGGTGGGAAAGAAGCGCTGTGGTAGGATCTCCCGTGCACCCCGGAGTAGTTTCGTGTCTTCGAGCCCAGTCGTCTCGGATCAACCCGCAAAGCCCTGCAAAAACGGTCGAGGACCGCATAGGGAAATGAAAACGTGAATCCTCGTGTGATGTGTTTCTGCTCCGTAAAGTGTAGGTGTATACGTGTTCAAAAGAAGTCTTCCGCAAGAGATTCGTGTCCGGCTGTACGACACACTTGGTTACATATCGATACTCACAGCGGCGCTGAGTATAGAGGTAAACGGTGATCCAGGTTCCTTACACTGAGTTATATGAACAACTTCAAGGTACCTTTATACACAGGATGCAGGTTGCGACGCCGTACTGGGAACTTGTTATTCTCGTTCTTTCTGTTATCGAGGAGTAGCCATGTAACGACCTTTCTGTCATATACGTTTATTGCAGGCGAAGAGTGAGAGCAAGTACATGCTTTAATCTAAGTCAGTAAATAACCGATAATACGAACAGGCTGTAAGGAGATGCAGCTGACTGCATTGTGCTATACAAGGAAGTACGCCGGAATATTTTTTATGGTATCACACGTGCTGCTTATTTCTAAGTCGTCTCGTGCACGATGTCTGTCTTTTTGTGCACCAGCTATACACGTAGGAATCAATGTCACAGACCACCGAAGCTTGTGAAAGCAGAAAGAATATTCTTAAGAAAACAAGAAATAAGAGTTTTAGCGTGAAACGATAAGCGTTCCACTAACAGCGAAGCCAGAAAAGACGAGCGACGTTTTTTTTTTTTTTTTCATGTTGATTTCTATGCTTGATTGATATGTGGGGTTTAACGCCTCAAAACCACCATATGATTATGAGAGACGACGTTGTGCAGGGCTCCGGAAATTTCGATCACCTGGGTTCTTTAACGTGCGCCCAAATCTGAGCAGACAGGCCTACAACATTCCCGCCTCCATCGGAAATGCAACCACCGTAGCCGGGATTCGATCCCGCGACCTGCGGGTCAGCAGTCGAGTACCTTATCCACTAGACCACCGCGGCAAGAGCAAGTTTATTTCTCCCCCTGCTTTAGGTATAAACACATCTGGTGTCATACGTTATAACGTTTGAAATATAGAACATAATTGCTCATTTATAGAAATGAAGCGCCTCAAGAAAAGCCACAGGAATGGTGCATATCTGTGACGAAATCTACAGACTCTACAGGGTGTAACGTCCCAGTATTGACCCCGTGTACAGGCGAGCATGGCCGCGGTACGAATCCTCTCAACTACACGGGAGACCAGCAGCCCGTCATCGGAGACGCCAGCATTCCTTCCACTCAACCATCACACACCGCGTCGGTATAATCCCGGTGCATCATAGGTTTACAGCCACCGCCGTTGTTAAGCCAATGAAAGTTATGCCCTTCACTGATATCGAGGTTTTTACTGGGTTTCAATTCTCATCTATGAAGATGGTTAAAGCGTATTACAACACAAGGACAACGAAGGAAACGGAACACTCCGTATTTTTTTTTTTGTTTACGTTAGTGTGATTTACCATTTCAAAATGCGTTGGCATGTAGACTAGTTCAGACCCAGACCCTGGGTCCGAACTAGTTTACATACATTGAACTAGTTTACATGAATGGGAAAGCCGAAAGCCGTCCCACGGATTTCTAACTTGACGAGGATATATAGTTGGCAAACGTACATTTGTTAGCTCTACTGAGTGCGTTCTCACAATGATCTTTTAGGCGCCAAACAGATACATGCCGGAGGGAGATATACCATCTTACCAGTAGTGATGTATTTAGGCATAGCAAACACAAAGAAGCGCCATGCCCACGTTCTCTCATCCTGTCTTCTTTTTATATTTTTATCTACGCCATTATTTTGCCCTGCGTTTTGACAAAGACAGTTCTGTTCCGGAATCCGCGTCAGTTCTCCTTGGCACGAACTTATTCACGTGCAGGATGATTTTCTTGAAAAATACAACGCCAAGACAAGCAGTGTCTGAGAAGTCTGTTTCGGGCTAGTTGGTCAAGCATGGTAAGAGGTAAAAACAGCGCAAACTAGAAGCGACGAACTATACGAAGAACTTATAGCGCTCGTCGAGTCTGTTATTTCTTCGTATATACTTCTTCGTAGTTGGCGCTGCTTTCACCTTTTACCGAGCAGTGTCTGGTGAGCAGGGCTAAGCCGTCAGCTAAATGCACCCTGAAATATGCACGCCACGCACCTTGAACGGCTCTGCTCTTTTGAACAAGCTTTATTTCTCCCCCTGATGTCTCTCCAGAAGCAAAATAACAGTAACTATGGGGAGGAACCTGGAAAGACTTGGTGACTCTCATATGCCGCCGGCTGGTGCTGTGCACACAAACTTTAGAAGGAGGGTTCAATCTACCTGTGATGCGGCAGATCGATGAATGCTAAGTGAATCACGGCGCCTGCAATGGGACACGCCGCGTTCCATGAGCATCAGTATTCGGTTGTACGCACGGCTGCAAGAATGTCGTGGGGCATTTTCGTGCATTTGTGTATATTGACTCATCTCGCCTTCCTCTGTCCACCCGAAGAAGGTGAACACCTGTTGCTTTTGTCGGGTACTGCTGGTCAGGTATAAACCGAATGACCAAGCGAGAGTCCGTACTCCATTGGCACACGTCCACAATCAGCTCTTACGTAACCTTGGTGCAGCCTCTGCACTGTTGCATTAAAGATTATGTTTGCTCGCTCGAATAGCGGTTTACGGAGTTAAATGGCATAATATATAGCGACGAACGTGTTGGAGCAACGTAGTCTACATAAAGATCTGCCTGTCACGAGAAAGTGACCATATGGTTCGATGCCGTAACTTTTGTCTTCAACGGTAACTCCATCAACCATGGCGCTAAAGATTACAACCACAACAAACAAGCCGCGCCAAGCGTCAATATATATGAACTGTCCAGAGAAATCAGCGATGTATCGCGAAAGTATACGGATCTATGGATTCTCGAAGCAGGTCACCAGGGCTAAGGATAAAGGGCAAATCATTTCTACACGACCGTTTCCTGGCTCGTCGTAACTGTTACGTTGAATGCACGAAACAATTCACCCAGGTCTTAACTGGCCAGGATCAGTGTGGTTGTTCGAACACGGAAGCGTTAACCTGGTCGGGCTCTATTATTCAATCAGTGCCGATGCTCACTGTCACTTCTCGGTGAGTGGGCAAGTACAGATGAGAATCGTGGTGTCATCTTCGCGCGAAACGCGATTGGGGCGACCCGTATACAGCGATTGCGGCTTGCGTAACGGCACCTCCCGGAGTATACAGTGCTGATAACATCGACACCTCACCGTCTGCCGCTTCACGCAACAATGCCGCGCTATGAAAATGTCATCGCCCGCGGAGGAGACGCAAGAGGGATGGGAGGGGCGAAGAATTATTAATGAGAGAGAACAAGATACCCGTTTAATTAGCAAACGCTTAATCGATGCAAACTTTCGTCATGAAAAATCCGACCACGACCGGGACGCTAAACCGTTTGACGGTTAACGGGTCGGAGCGAATCTCAGAAAGACATTCGCGATGATAAACAACGAAAGCAAGACGTGATGAAGACCACTTACCGGGGCGACTCAGTCACGGTCGGGCGAGGCCCCGTTCCGTTTCCTCTTCCTCCCTCGGTCTGCCGCTGCTGTCGCCGCGACCGTCTTCGCGACAGGGGGAGGTTTCGGACGAGAGTCCCGCGGACAACGACACCGACGCAGAACAAGGGCGCTTCGACCGAGCAGGGCGGGATCGGTGCCGACACCCACACTTGCCGCGATGAACGTACCTACTACGTACGCCCGCCTCTGGCTTTGCCGTCCGTGCGTGCGGGCGCGTCGGTGTGCGATCGCCGTCTGCCGCCCCTTCGCGTGCTCGACGATTGTTTCGACTCACGTAAGAGGCGCCCGCAATCAGTTGTATGTGCGCGCGTGCGTGCGTTTAGGACACCCCCTTTGTTGCGTGCCACCACTGAGGACCCGCTGAGGCGAACAGCTGAATCAACCGCGGCGCTTCCTCCTTCGTTTCCCCTTTCCCCCACCACCGCGGCCTCTCTGTCAAGGACTTTTCCTTCGTGGTCAACACCCGTCTCTTCTCCCACCCGCCTTTTCTGGCATTTCGTACACAACATGTTATGCATGCAATGCTGCACAAACGGCCCTGGCTTCACTTTCTCCACTCCGTTCCTCTCTCGCTCTTCTACACCACGGCTAAGAGGCGACGCCGCTCATTGGGCAGGCGAAGAACAACCTGTCTGGACGGCGGTACTTGTCGTGCGGTTTTTCTTCTCTTGCGCTTTACCTTTTGCGTGACTACTGAGGGCCGCATGGCGACCGTGATTTTTCTCCTCGGCGAGAGTAGTGCACCCTTTCGCCGGGTATGACGCCACCGCTGTGGCTCATTTTCGCCTGCTCCTGCCGCGAGTGAAGAAAAGAGCACGTACAGAGGAAAAAATACCTCATTGCAGCGACGTGAAAAGCAAAATAGAAGAGAAAAAGTCCCTTTCTTGGAGGGGCATTCGAAGCATTTCCTCGATCTTCTGCGCACTCGAGTGTGTATGGTTACCTTCCTCTGAACTGCCGTGGACTCGTTTTTTGTAGTTGTAGCCTCTAATTTTATTGCACTTATTATTGATTGTGTACGTGGAACATCGGCAAAGAAATGCGAGTAATCCAGTAATTTGATAAGCACGAAGGAACGAAATGAGCCGTGACATCAGCAAGTTGGGAAGCTGGGCAAACAAGTGAATCATCCAAGCGCCCGGCCACGAATAAGAATGCCCGGCTCGCGTAATACTGCACCTGTTCGCGCTTTCAGACGGCCGGTGATTTATTCTGTAGTATGAGACAAAAAGCGCTATCTCGTTTCGTAAACTAGAAGGTATTTTTCGTCTAATTACTTACCCTTGTATTTGTATAGTAATTTTCGTTAAATACGACGACAGCTCGTTACATCAGCCATATTGCCGCGAACACTTGTTTTTCAGTGTTTACATATATATATATATATATATATATATATATATATATATATATATATATATATATAT